CACACACTTGAATGATCCTAACCCGTGAAAGGCAAAGCCTTGAGCCGCTGATGAACCTCAGAAGTCTCAAGAAGAAGGCTGGCTATGCCCAGCGGGAGATGTCCAAGATATGGTGCCAGGTCAGTGAATTCCGCTGCGTCTCCCATCCTCCCCTAGCTTCACTCCATGGTAAGCTTCGCTCCTCTACCGCTAGGCTGCTCCTCCACTTCCGCACCCTGGTGGCATGTGGACGAACTGAGAGCTCAAGGAACTGGCCATCCAGCTGAGTGGCATGTGGCCAAATTTTGATGGCATGGGTCCTACCCAAGTCCAGGCCTTCCCCTGATGTCTCAGCAACGGGACCTGGATCAAAAGTCCAGGCCCTCCCCTGACGACGCAGAAAGGCCCAGCTACAAACAGATGAGCTGGGCTAAAGCGTGAAACGGTATCTGCCAGAGGTCTGAACAGGACAAACATTTGCCTGTTCAGACAAAAGTCCTGAAAAACACAACCTAGACCAGGACAAGCCACAAAACAACACCGTACTGACAGCGACAAAATATGCAGCAATCAAACACTCACACACACCTCAACTCAGAACAGACGAAATTTCACATACCTCTCTGGGAAACTCACTCACCTAGGGGCCTCATGATGGCCGAGACCCTCTCAGCTGGCAGGAGGCCACAAACAGGGCCTAGGCGGCCCAGGGACCTGCCCAAGGGATGTAAGGGCCCCTGGTGATTCCAGAACACTGCACACACACACACACACACAAAGAGAGAGAGAGAGAGAGAGAGAGAGAGAGAGAGAGAGAGAGAGAGAGAGAGAGAGCTATGAAACACCCTCGGCGGCGGCCATCAGCGGACGCGGCCAGTCCGCGGACCCCGCGGCCGCGCGGCTTTGAAGCCACGTGGCGGCCGCGCGGGAGTGACTTGCAAAAAACGGGAGACGCCACGTGGCGGCGCATCCCCGGCCCCAACCCCCCCCACAAAAAAAAAACATAAAAGATCAACTTTTGGATGGGGGGGTATGGGCGAAATCGAAAGAAATTGAAAAAAAAATAAAAAACGCATTTTTTTTTTTTTTTTTTCCGTTGATTGGTTGATTGATTGATTGATTGATTGGTGGGGGCAGGGTCGCCCCGCCCCACCTTTGATTGATTGATTGATTAGTTTCGTCAATTTTTTTTTTTCTGTTGATTGATTGATTGATTGATTGATTAGTTTTGTCAATTTTTTTTTTTT